ATATACAGGTACCTACCTATCACCAGATAAGGTAATCTTAACATACCTCAGGGGAGATAACTCACTTGTACTATTCTAATAAAGCATGGGCAGCTCCTGAGTGGTCCTCAGTAGATCTTGACTGTATTTCTAAAATGTATTTTTTGTAGCATCATATTTTCTTGAATTCATCATGCTCCAAAAAAAATCTTTTTTACTCCTTTGAATGTGGCCATAGATATTTCAAATGACCAGTTTTATAATAACAATGTCCATGTATTTATATACACTGTATATATGTAACCTTTTTATGATGCAAATGTGACATTTTCACCTGGATTACTGACTACATATTTTAAATCACCTTTCCTAATTTTTTTCAAAAATTCTTTTAAATCTCATAATTTTCTGTTACACAGCCTCTTACAACTCGAAAAACCCCAAATGTTGTTATAAAAGGCTATAAGAAAAACATCAGGAAATCACACATTAAAAATTTCTAACCAGAAAATGTTTGAGTGTCTGTAATACTGCTAGTGTAACTTCAGAGAACTGAATCACGTTTAATTGTCAAATTCCAACTTGATAGAAATTCCTGAATTATTTCTAATTTAACCTTGTAGTGTGACAGAAATGAATACCATAGAAAATACATCTTTGTTCCGGCAAAACATAGTCATTCCACCATTTTGTCTAACAGTCTGATTAAAATGAATCGTGAACCAAAAATGAAGAAAGATGAAATAGATGTTTCTGTTGTTGAAATTGCCTCTCATATCATATGTTTGTAAGTGACTGGGTTTCATACAATCATGTTGAAAATGTGCGTTTTAATCATTACTGACCTCCTACCTAATAATCTTTAGGACAAATGGTGGCAATATAACAAGATTTATAATGCTGATTATATAAAGCGTCAGAAGAAACTTTTACATTATACAAACACAAACTTGTCATAAAATAAGGAAATAATTACTGATCATCAGAGCTTGAAGTCATTTCACTTGAGGTATTTGTCACGTTCATATTTCCTGTGACATGATTCATACCATCATAGTAAGTTAATTGACCGAGGCTGCTAACTACAGGTACATAGAGTACATACGTCAATGATATGTAACTGTCACATCAGTACTGCTGTAGAAAACATATCTCAACAAACACTTCTGGAGTATGATTAGTTAAGGAGTGCATGACGCTACCTAAAGACCATGTCTGTGATTTATGTTAAAAAAGATGCCTGTGATTTATGTTTGAGTTATCTCCCTTAGAAACTTCAATTGCAGCAGGTACCTGAACACCTTTTACGTAAATATATCAATTAATTAACACTCTCTAAATGACCTTTCACATTTAATGTGTACACCATGATTAATTAACCTATTCAAGTTACCTTTACATGTAGACATCAATAAATTAACTCTGTTTATATTACTTTTAGCTTTTTACACATATACATCAATGAATTAACCCTAACTAAACTAAATTGAAGCAACTTTGTTGATATTATTTTTTACCTTCTACATGTATACACCAATGAATAAAACATGTTTGAGTTACTTTTTAGCTTTTATATAGACATGTCACAGGTATCTTGGAACATTTTTGGAAAGGAGACACATTAAAAATATAGTTAAAAATACATATCATTAAAGATCTAAAGCTTGTTGATGGCATCAATATCCATAGATACATGTAGTGGATACTGATCAGGCTGTACCTGGTTTAGCCAAATCTCCTTCATATTAATTTATGAAAGATATTATAGGAATTTAATTTCCACCCGGAATAACCTTGAATTAAACAGTCCACCCCTAAAGACAAATCCCAGTGTCCACAGTTTTAACATAAATGTACTTTCAATTAATGTACTAAATTTCACATTATTTTACATTATGATTACAACTTATAAAAGGCAAAATATTTCATGAAATCTTTAACCCTAACTGTACAATATGTACATCTTATTTCTAACTCTCTTTCAATTAGTAGAAAAGGATATTGAATTTGTAAGTTCTGACACAAGTCTGTTCACAGATTATGTAGCTGGTAAGAATAATGATGGACTTAAAAATGTGGCAGGAAAGTGACCTTCTACAATCAAAAACTTATCAACAATATTAATGTTGTGATGAAAAAAGAAGGAAACCTTAAATTTTACTTGAGTAAGTCAACATTTACCTGCCAAATATAATATTTTAAATTTCTCTTTCTACAGCTTCATCAACAACAAAATTATTTTTTATCCTGAAATTCTTACCTGTCAGAACCGTTAATCATTTTAGTGTGGATTTCCATTTCTTCTAGTAACAAAAATATCAAAATCTGACAAACTGTCAAACACTTCCTCTAAAATTAAATCTTCATCTTCCCCACCATCAGTAATCATCGTATCCAAAATCCAAAAGTTAAAAACTCTACTTTTTCAGAGTAAATGTTGTGGTGTGTGTTATTGATGTGCAATAAAATGTGAGGGATATGGGTTGTATTAAAGTTTAATAACACTTGTATATCTTTGTACATTGGACATGTACACCTGGTACGACCAGTACAAATTTCACAATTAGTAGCCCTGGTATAAAGTACAAAGATACCTGTATATCTATTGTGTGTGAGCCAGTTTGTATACCACTCGTGAAATAAAACCACCACAACCATATATAAATCATGAATCCACCTCTGTGTCCAAAACAATGTCATCTAAATCATAAAAAATGAGCTTGTAATAAAAAGAGTTTTTAAATTTACCAGATAACATTTTATCTTTTACACTCTACTCGAGTGTTCATTAACAATGTACAGTGAATACTTAACAGTTATCTCCCTTTAACCAAGTAACATCTTCATCGTTGTCTGAGGTACACTATCAACAATAATTTCAGTACACTTTACAATATTTTAAAAGATACAGTTTTGTTGATCTGGCCATGACTTATATGATTGTCCTGCTATACCATCACTACATAAGTCAGTGGGGATACATAGTTTACTATAATCCAATAGAGCCACTGTTTTGTGATACACTTTACTTATTACGATCACTATTCATGTTCTGATAAAATTCATCCTATAAATTTGTAAAGTTTATCCTAGAACATTTAAATATACCTTGTCATGTAAAATGTAATATATCATCTTATCTTTATATCTGATTTAACCTTCAGCTGCTACTAAGGTAAAATGCCCATCACTTTTCTGCTGTAAGCAGGTTGTGTAAAATTATTTTCTCATTCTTTTTATATTATATATATTGTTAATGAAGTTAAAGCATTACAAAACCATTAGTACTAATGTTGTGGAAAAGTGTAAACAAACAAACATTATAACCAGTAGTCTAGTGGATTAACAGAATCATCCCCTACCTTGAGGGTGTGACAGAGAAATCTCCAACCCAAGGGGTGATGTTTTTTGGTTGTCTAACCAGAGGCTCTGCCGAGGGTTAGACAACCACAAAAATCACCCCGAGGGTTGGAGATTTCTCTGTTACACCCTTTAAGTATGGGATGATTAATTTTCTCCCATCCTATTATTTCAGTCACAGCTCCACCGACAGTAGTCTGCCATGTTTGTAAACAAAAACACATGTGGGGTATGCATATCGTCATTCACTTTTGATGACGTCACAATTACCGATGACGCATTTTAATGACATCACAATTGAACATGTGCTTATCGGCACGAGGCTATCTCCCCCTAGGGGGTGACAAGCTGATCTTTCCCGGCTAAAACGGGAGACACACCTGTGAAAGGTGGGAGAAAAGGTGTTCCTTTATCGTCAAAAAGGTCCTAGAATGAAATCTCTATGATGGGTCCAAATTTCTTTTTATGAAAAATGGAGAGAAAAAAAATATAAAAAAATGGGCAAGCAAAACCAAGTTTGAATATGTCCTTACAAGTTGCAGCTTTTTCTTTGTTGGAGATACAAATCATAGCACTGAGACTCCAAACCTCAGGCCTAACAACAGATTTCATCTGATGGTGTAATTTTAATACATAGCACTGAAACTCTCAGCTTGACTCAAGCCTAACAACAGATTTCATCTGATGGTGTAATTTTAATACATAGCACTGAAATTCCCAACATCAAGCCTAACATTACAGATTTCATCTGATGGTGTAATTTTAATACATAGCACTGAAACTCTCAAGCTTAACATAACAAATTTCATCTGATGATGTAATTTTAATGTTATATTTAGACGAATTGAGAAACAGACATTCTGATCTTATTTAATGTTAATTTTGTCTACAAATGTTATATAGTTTCATCTTATATGATACTGTTTTGAGTAATGACTTTTAAAAAGTTTTATCATGCTGTTATAATATTGTGCATGTAAAAATATATTTTGTATACATTTTGATTTTGTCCCAGAATTATCCTATTTTATAATATCCAAATGCCAAAAACATAGATCTCATATATAATTACTTCATCCTGCTTTTTAAACCCTAGGGAATCCTTGTATTTCCCACTTTTTAATAACAGGGATTTCCCAGAATATCCCACCTAACATCCATAAGGTATCCCCCACTGCTGGTTGAGGGGAGTACATAGTATACCTCCTCCTGTATCCCACAGCTGATCAATTACAACAACTAATGTGTTCTCTGTCTCCCACTTTCAGAATTAGTTTTTTAATCCAAGTCCTATGATACGGAAACATAAAGAAAACCAAAATTAATCTGTTCTACCCACTGCTATATACTTTGGATTTAATCTTTCCTTTTCTACCGTTTTAATTTCAGTGTCTCTCTCGACACACCAACCATTTACTTCTACAACATTGCCCTCTACAACAGTATTGTGTTAATTGGTCAAACAACCTTAATAAATATATAAATAAACAAATATCTCTGTCCTCAAGGAGGTAGGGTAACACCTCCTAGCGACATTAAGTTTCCTATACATCTTTCATGTTCTCCAGGAGGTAGAGTAACGCCTCCCAGAGACATTAAGTTTCCTATTCATGTTCTCCAGGAAGGAGAGTAACTCCTCCTGCAGACTTCAGTCTCCTTACCTTTCTTGTCCTCCAGGAAGGATATCAACTCTTCGTGGAGATTTCTTTCTCCTTCCAATAGGTGCTGCTGCTGCTGCTGGGGATGATGATAATGGTTGTACATCTGATGATGCTGATGAGAGAAGCGATGATAAGAAGGATGACTTGCTTCAGGCATCTGTGCAGTGTTATTATGATATTCACCATTTTGAAATGATTGCCCTTCGTAAGCTGCTGAATTCATCCACTTCATTTTCACTGAATCGGGATAAACTATCTGCTGTGCAGCATCTTTTGCAAATTTGCAGGATGACAATTCGGTCGTGTGACAAATGGTTTTAAGCTCCACTGAGTTTCCTTCCTGACCAAGTAGAGCATAGGCATTCGCGGGGCTCGGCGTCATCAACCCTCTATCAAGCATCTTAGAATCAGCTGATTTGAATGGTACTTAAGAGTTGTCAATTGAAAACAGTATAATGACTTGGCCGTCAATTCTCCAGCTAAGGTGACATCATTGACCCAGTTAAAGCAGAGACACTTCAATCTGCAAAGTTCATGTGCGCCTGACGCATCTAAAGCTGAGGCAGATGGTCACGAGTTACCAACCAAACTCAAATGTCGTCCACAGGGAAAAACAATTTGTTGACCTTAACCTTAATTTCTGGTGTAGTATGATACATGCACTCTTGGTGCCATTGGCGGTAGATCTAGAACTGTTATAATCAAATGTAATCTCTGTTACGAGTGAGAGTACTGTCATGCTACGTAAGCCTAGAGAGATGAAAAAGTCACAGCTCTTTTTTAGTTAGTGTTATGCACTTGCAGTGTCTCTGCAATCTTGAATAATTTCCGAAGGGAAATGAGTACACAATTGTTATAACTATAAAGATCTCCTCAAAGGAAACACACGACACAATAGGCCAGTGTTTCATGCACCCTCCTTCTCCCCCGCAGTCAGGATGTCACAGAGGGTTCGTATACCACATCACAGGACACTACACAGGCATCTAAATAAGGCCATCAACAGTTGTCAGCTTCCAGCCAAAATGACACACTTTTTGTGAACTAAATTATGTAATAGTACCTACATATGTGGCTTTCCTAACTCATCTGACATCTACAGACAGAGAACTTGTCCTACACATCTGAATGCTTCCTACAAGCTCCATGGCTTTGTACTAGATCTGTGTTGAAATCCCACAACACTTGATCTCTCAAACCTTAAAACAAACACCTTAAATCTGTAAAATATACATGTGTCTATCCTGAGTCAGGAAGGTTTAGCAATCATCACATCTGTATCTTAATACCATCAAATCAAATAGCATACAAGGTGACACTTCCAATTCGATTTTCAGACAAAGAACGAAAACACGGTCAATTCTATACAGAAATAAGATTGACAGATGAACTTGTACTGGTTTTATTAGTGAAAAATTAGATGTGTACCAACAGAGAAGTTGGTGAGATAATTTGGAGAAGTTGATTTTTTATAACAGCTTAACTGACTCAACCACACCTTTGAGGCTTTATCATACTGACAATCAATTTTTACTGACACCTGAATTTATCAACACCAACAAATAATTTCTTAATTAAAATCCTATATAACGGACACCGTATCTTAATGACATCCCAGACAACAGATTTAATGACATAACGGACACCAGATTTCAATGACATAATGGACACCAGATTTCAATGACATAACGGACACCAGATTTAATGACATCATGGACACCAGATTTTAATGACATAATGGACACCAGATTTCAATGACATAACGGACACCAGATTTCAATGACATAATGGACACCAGATTTCAATGACATAACGGACACCAGATTTAATGACATCATGGACACCAGATTTTAATGACATAATGGACACCAGATTTCAATGACATAACGGACACCAGATTTCAATGACATAATGGACACCAGATTTCAATGACATAACGGACACCAGATTTTAATGACATCCCATCCAACAGGTTTTAATGACATTAAGGACACCAGATTTTAATGACATAATGGACACTATAGATTGATTTTACTAACATAATGGACACTATAGATTGATTTTACTACCATAACTGACACCAGATTTTACTGACACTAGACTTTACCAACACTGACACCTGAAAATCTGACATGATTATACAGCCACAAAAATACTATGGTTTATTGTACACAATGTCATTCCCATGATATTAGTCAAGTCATGTTTTAATGCATTTATATCTAGCATAGAAATGTTCCTTAATTTGAAGAAATAATTAAAAGTTAATAAATTCTCCATAATGAATGAAAAGTGCTTTCATCTCGTCTGCAAGGCTCTTCAGTCTAAAGTGGAAAACTTCTTTTTAATAATATGTACTGTATATCAAAAGAGAAATTGAGTATCCGCTATATATAACTTTTCCTGTTTATAACAGCGTCACAAAGAGAGCAGATTACAACATCATTTTAATTAGAAGTGACATGAACACTGACAGTTTTTCTGTAATACCTAGAATATACATGTATACAGGAAGTAGCAGGGGGCTTATTAGGAAACCCTTGATCTGAAGTGTGTAGGTGATTAAGTAAGACTTATCAAACATCCCCTCAATGGTAATCTGTCAAACCACATCCCCCCAGTATAACTCAGCACATAATCAGTGAGACACCTTACAAACACGGATGATCAGTGAGACACCTTACAAACACGGATAATCAGTGAGACACCTTACAAAAGCAGTCAATGAAATCAACAGTGTAAACACATTTCAATAAATATATATAAATAATATATTCCTAGAAAACCTAATGTTGGAGAAAAAGTTCCAGTTGAAAAAAGCAGTCTGAAACAAAACTAAATCTAGTAATGTAATCACATGGAAGTACTAACATTTGTTATAAACAATATCAATGCTGGCTACAATAATTGTTTTTCGCTGATTCAGCCATTGAGTTAATGACCGGCCATTGTACAAATGTTACCCCTGAGGGGTCAATGACTGTAAACATGGGTTAAACTTAATCACAGCTATAGAAACAAAACATTAGAATTAGTTAGAATACTCAAGTGCCATGATATCTTACAGAGGTCCATTTATCATTGAAGGACAACAACCTGTGTATCAACAAACCCATATGTTCTTATACAACGCCTTGCTGAATCAAATTTGTGAAACTCAAATGTCTATGTCATACAAGATTCTGCTATTAACAGAATTAATTTCTGCAAATAATGGCCATTTTTAGTAAACATTACCGGTATATGTTACTTGCAGGATAATTATTACATAACATTCTAGTATCTTCATTGTCTTTTACTGAATATCAGAGAAAGAGAATTTAAAACATGCTCGATATTTTAAATGCAAAGAAAATATTATGGCAGACTCAACATGATTTGCTTCCCCATCATCTGTGATAAATAAGAACTGTATACTGAACAAAGTAATTTGTAAATGATTGGTTAAAATGCTGCATAAATGCCTGAATGTACCGTAATTATAACTAGACAAATGCCAATATTGTGATAAGGGTCGTGATCTGCCCTTCGATATAATCATTGGCCATGCCCATTATTGCGTCACAGTTATGTTGCCTATGTTATACCCGGTGTTGTGTAGATTGGTATCATCCCTGCAATTTAAAGACAGCAATAGTGCTGAAAAAGGAACAGGTCTGACTGAAAATTTAACAAGTATATTGGTGCCCATGGAACAATATTTGACAGAACTGTGTTTAATATATATATGTAGAAGCCAAGGATATGAGGAAATGTACGTACTGGAAAGCTATGCATACCTAGCTTTGTCAGAGATGCAGTATGACCAAAGGACTATCTCAATAGTTAAGCAACATCATTTTGGTCAGTGGCTGGATAGGTGCCCGCTAGCACTTTACATGTGATGGCATCGTGACCCTGGGTCATCATGTAAAGCCAGTTCCCATGGATAGGGTGGCAGGGACGGAGCATTGGTTCAAGAGAAGGACCTCGTGGTATTCCCAGGCCGAGTCTTAGCTTCTTGGTGAAGCGAATAATATAGCAGGCTATATTAGCATCCAAGGACTATGAAGGAAAAATACTTTATAATGATGGGACTGGCTAAATACACTAAAAGCAACATTGAGCATGGTCTATGGATGGGTGCCCTCTAACACATTACCTATATAATAAATATATTAGTCAAGTTTTATTGATTAAGTCACTTTGGATTAAAAAGGTAAAAGACGTACCGCCGTATATACTCTGATAAGCAAAGATAAGCTTTGATGAGATTCCGCTGAAATGATGTCAAGTAGCTATACGAGTTCACAATTATTCATCCTGACATTATTATTTATGAGACTTAATAGTTTAGAGTCATAGTCACACACTTTATATATATACTTGTATAATATAAGGAAAGCTGAAACTACTTGCAGAAAATTAAATCAGTTATACCAAATATGGGTAACTCTTCACAGACGGACAAAAAATTGTTAGATTTACTCATAGCAGATGACAGATGTATTGTCCTGAACGGTGGTGGTGTTGTGTCACCGGTCAGTGACCGACAAACTGACAAGTGGCCATTATTATATCTATAAGTTTACATGTATTATGTGCATTGATTGCTACTACAATGCACCTAGACTTGACCCATATGACAGACCTACTACAAAGACAGCTGGTGGAAATGAGTCATCTGTATCCTAACAAGTTCATTCATTACATCTGTATTATTCTCCTCGTCACAATCACATGTCTGACCTGTATATAAAGTTACTGCGCACAACAACAACCACAAAAACCGCAGAGTACCACAAACCCAACGACACAAAGTCAACAACAAACAGACGACAACAATTTGCATACAATACCTGAATGTACTACCTATACATGTATCATGCACTTCCTTTATTTCCCATAAATGTATTATATATATGCACATGTTGCACTTAACTGCAAGTCAAATATATCCTTACATTCATGATCATCTGTGATGATACATGTTTGTGTCATATAGGAAACAGGCAAACAAATTTCCCTACACTTCTCTCTCGAAAGTTACAAAGAATCGCCAAGGTTTGATAATTCTTACTAAAAACACTAATATCTTTTAATGGATTGCAAAAATGAAGTTTTCAAATTTTCAATCATTGTAAAGCTTTTATATATTAATTCAGTTGTCTAATTTGATTTTTAATTCTAAAATTTATATTACTGTGACAAAATATCAATCTGTCATATAAAAAATGTAGATTGACGACTTTCACAGACCAGGCCTTATAACAGTCCAAATAAAAATGTATCTTTTCCTCTAATGAATTTTATGAAATTAATGTCTATCTTAGTGTCTGTTAGAATTTAATTTTTCCTGTCTGTCAATCTATTTCTTTATAATTATCCTCTTTCTGTCTGTCCATCCTGTTCATTTATATGCCATACTTTTCATCTATCCATCCATTTCAATGTTCTTCTTTCTGTCTGTCCATCCTGCTCATTATAATTCTATCTTTTTCTCTGTTCATCCTTCTAATTATCATTCTATCTTTTTCTCTGTCCATCCTGCTCATTATAATTCTACCTTTTTCTCTGTCCATCCCGCTCATTATAATTCTATCTTTTTCTCTATCCATCCCACTCATTATAATTCTATCTTTTTCTCTGTCCATCCTGCTCATTATAATTCTATCTTTTTCTCTGTCCATCCCACTCATTATAATTCTATCTTTTTCTCTGTTCATCCTTCTGATTATAATTTTATCTTTTTCTCTGTTCATCCTTCTCATTATAATTCTATCTTTTTCTCTGTTCATCCTTCTCATTATAATTCTATCTTTTTCTCTGTCCATCC